GGCACTAGTCGGTAAGACCAGCTCTCAGTCGTCCAAAGAACGGCCTTTCCCCGTCGTAGGGAACGAGTGTGGAGGGCTTTACGGTTATATTATAATTTAGAGCGGAAGTTGGTGATAGCGAATTCACCTTCTTCCTTCGTCAGGTTCCCGACACCAGTTTGTCAATTTATAGAGGCGCGGACAAACACGCGATAACGATCTGATTCGGAATGAATTGAGGAGACATTCTTATATAATAAACATAAGTAAAATTTAATAAATCCAAACAACGAATACAGAAAATCAATAACTACGATTATATGACAAGTTAAAGGTTACGACTAAATCTATGCTAATGCGCGATCGAGAGAGAGCTCACAAAATGATTCTAAACATACGACCTGTTAGTTGTCGTCTTCGTTTCTGTAGATATAGGACACCTTGTAGATAGGGTTCATCTTCCTTTCGTATGGGAGATTAATTCGTGCACAAAATATAAAGATATCACTTCTTCTAAGTGTAGACTCGGGACTTAGTCTATCGGACTCCGTTATGGGCGTTGGCCATCAGGAGGAAACGTATGTGGAGTCTGGACACTTTCAAATCGGTCGGAGGACTCCCCGAATTATGACTAATTTCTCCTTTTATTTCCAAACTTCGTCCAATCATCGTATAGTAACTCTTTCGTGAGAACGGATGAGAGGGGGATGAATGAGGGGTAACCATTTCCCATCGGAGCGAGATTTTTAACCAGATATGGGAAAAACAGCGGATGTTCTCCTCGATGAAAGGAAATAACATTTGTCATCTAGTTTTTCCCACGTCTAAAACAATATTTTTCTCACCAAAACGAAGTATTATTTGGTGACATTATTTAAGCATATTTAATAAAAATTATTAAATGAGGCCTAGGGCCTTCCGGATCTCACACACGCAGTGGAAGTGAAGAACCATATTAGCATTGAATAATGGGGTGTAATGACATTTTTCTGGCCAGGAATATACTTTTCACGCATTTCCTTCTTCAGGTAATGTTTTTCTCATCTCTGCTGTTCCACCCACACAAGAAACGTCAAAATTTAGTATAATCAATTAATAATGCAACGACTTTTAAATCACAACATATGATCTAATTGTACTTTTGAAAATGACTTTTTTTAAGTACGACTTTCATATTTTCATAGGTTTTCTTTTATTTTTGTTGAATAAGCTAATGGCACAGAATAAAATTTGTTTCTATTGGGTAAAAGCACAACCTAACACTAATTTTAGACGAATTAATGAACATTCTCCATTTTGTGGTATNGAAAATTCCAGCTTTAATTTTAGCATCACTTATATGAAGTAATATTTCTGTCAAATAATGAAATCTAGCATTGTTTGCATTCATTACATTGACAAAGCTTTTGAAAAGTGTTAACTTTACACGAAGTGGAAGTGAAGAACCATATTAGCATTGAATAATGGGGTATAATGACATTTTTCTGGCCAGGAATATACTTTTCACGCATTTCCTTCTTCAGGTAATGTTTTTCTCATCTTCTGTTCCACCCACACAAGAAACGTCAAAATTTAGTATAATCAATTAATAATGCAACGACTTTTAAATCACAACATATGATCCAATTGTACTTTTGAAAATGACTTTTTTTCAAGTACGACTTTCATATTTTCATAGGTTTTCTTTTATTTTTGTTGAATAAGCTAATGGCACAGAATAAAATTTGTTTCTATTGGGTAAAAGCACAACCTAACACTAATTTTAGACGAATTAATGAACATTCTCCATTTTGTGGTATTATGTTTATTATCAAGTGCATTCATCACAGCACTAATATTATTGCAATAAACCAAACCACTTTCTTCAGAATACTTATCATGAAAATCTTTTTGACGATTACGAAAAAAAACACACCTTACTTGTCCCATGAAGTAAATGACAACGGTTTAGTCGAGAAACTAAAAGTTCAGCCTGTATTTTAGACACGTCCAGATGTCTAAGAAGTTAATTTAGCTCGCCTCGAGGTATTAAATAAAATTTCCAAGTAGAGGCGTTCGTTTCAAAATCAGGATACTTTTTTCCCTCGTTTTGAACTTCTTCATATCTTGAATCTTCCCCAGTAAAATGTTCTGGCAGAGATGGTACAGGTATATTCTAACAATGAGAAACTGGCCTCATAGCAGATGGTAAATTTTGGTACTTCAAGTTGGTTTAGATTTACTAGTTATACCTTTTATGGTAGTCAAACGAAAATAACAGTGCGTAACATGATTTTTTGGTTTACGTAAACTATGGGTACTGCAAAGATCAAATGTCGAGAACAGCCTTTTGCCCACTCTATCAGACGTTTTACACAAATTGAACATATGATATGTGCCAAATTTTTATTCTGATCGCCCAATTTACAATCAAAATATAGTCCATAATATTTATTAATTAACGAGCAACTTAACCGTTGTCATTAAGTTAAAAATGTTAATTTTTCACATATCAAGATAATTTACATATTTTCTTGCTATCTTTTCTTCAGAACGTAACAAAATACATACAGCTAAAAATAAAAAACACAAAAGAAATTCATTTTCACTCAATGCAAAGCCCACAAATTTTCTACAGTATTGCCTGTGGGTGATGAGTCATGTTGTGTGATTTTTATTCTGCTATCTGGGTAAGAAGTTGGTAAAACAAACTTGTTAAACGAATTCCATTTTTGTCCCTTGTCCGCCGCAATCGGTGCAAAAGAGTTTCTGTGGATGGCCATACATGGAACCAAAATTTATATCTATGATTACGGAAAATCAGCAGATGATAGAAAAGTATCGATCTCATGGTTGTAAATACTATTATACAGTTTTATTAGATACAATTTCTTTTTTCCGTGTGCCAAAAATTATGTCGAACAGTGTAATTTATAAGGCAGCACGTTGACCTAATGTAACCAAACATACGGATTTTATGTGTTAATAACGAGTTGTATATGTAAAGAGTGTTTCATAAGTTTCAATGTATAGCAAGTATTTTTATAACTGAATGTTTTAACACACATAAAATGAATTTCCGCGTCATCATGTTTTAATTATTCGCTAAATGTTTGTGTAAATCCACAAAACAGCGACTTTTGCAAAACAATGTAAATATTACTACAGTTGAGTACACTAAAATCTAAGTGCAAATATATACCTGCATAATTATTCAATACAAACAGAAAAACAATTCAATCGCCATTAATGCTGATTCAGTCGTAAACGAGTACAAATAAACTTTTATCAATAAAAGTATTAAATAATTTGAAACGTGTAGAATTAATTATAATATCTGACTTGGAATATATGAAATTACACAGAAACGTTATGATATCGAATGACACCAACCTTTTAAAAAAAGTTTCAATTTGCACGTAATTATCGATGTTTTTANGTAACCAAACATACGGATTTTATGTGTTAATAACGAGTTGTATATGTAAAGAGTGTTTCATAAGTTTCAATGTATAGCAAGTATTTTTATAACTGAATGTTTTAACACATATAAAATGAATTTCCGCGTCATCGTGTTTTAATTATTCGCTAAATGTTTGTGTAAATCCACAAAACAGCGACTTTTGCAAAACAATGTAAATATTACTACAGTTGAGTACACTAAAATCCAAATGCAAATATATACCTGCATAATTATTCAATACAAACAGAAAAACAATTCAATCGCCATTAATACTGATTCAGTCGTAAACGAGTACAAATAAAGTTTTATCAATAAAAGTATTAAATAATTTGAAACGTTTAGAATTAATTATAATATCTGACTTGTATATGAAATTACACAGAAACGTTACAATATCGAATGACACCAACCTTTTAAAAAAAGTTTCAATTTGCACGTAATTATCGATGTTTTTAGACAGAGAATTTAATATCGTTGTATATTTTAATAGAGATATTACCTTGTTAATTACGATATATCTTATCTACTCTAAAAATCGAATGGAACAAATGCAAAGGTTTACAATATATGCGTTAAATAAATTTTGAAACAATGTGCACTCGTTAAATAAGTGAAGTTATTATTGTAATGTTTTCACTCTAACAGACGATTGTGTGTTAAAAGTTTAGTCATTAACATTTTTATATACTTACTTCGGAGCAGGATGGAGCTTTTTCTTTCGGATGGATCTTCCTGATGTGTGTGCTTAAAGAACTTTTCTCAGTGAAAGTGCCGTTGCAAAAGTTACACGAAAATGGCCGTTCTTTGGTGTGAGTTCGCAAGTGACGTCTTAACTCAGCGGGAGATGCACAAACTTTTAGGCAAAAATTACATTTACGGCTTATTATCTTCGGGTCGTTTGGTGGAATCTAATTATTCAATATATTTTTAGTTAATTGTTAACAATTTATAAAAACATAAAACGTAACTTTTAAATGCAAATACTTCAAGTCAAGTATATATGAAAAAGTTTTGAAACGTTCATTTCTACGATTTATTTTATTGTGATAATGACGTAATTTAAAGTAATATTTACTTTAGATAAAATGTCATCAGAATGCCGTCTGTACATGTGTTGTTCTAACGCGTTTTTCCGTTTATAGCTATGTTCGCAGTTATTGTAATTGCACTTAAATGGTCTTTCATCGGAATGAACTTTCATGTGGCGTTTCAAGTGACTCTTCCACGAAAAGCTTTTTTCGCACAAATTGCATTTCGCCCGTATGAGTTTCCACGTGTCTTTTTAATTCGTGTTCACTGAGAAACGTCTGGTCGCAAGTCGGGCATTGATGTTTTTGGTCCTTTTAAAATAAGTCGTCCATTAACAATATATCATTCGTGAAAAAAATAAATTAAAATTATTTACAATAATATAAATTATTGTTATATATTTTATTAAGATGTTTAAAATGTTTATAATATGTACCCTTTATTCGATATAAGATTGAAATTGATAATTTGTGTTATTTCGTAAATTTTTAATAAAACAGTTTAGGAAATTCAAAATGAATTATTGAAGTTAAATAAAAGAATTCACTTACCATTATGATTTACTTTTATTAAATTATCAAATTTAGTTTTTTAAGTCGAAATTTCGTTACAACAGAAAACAACAATGCACCGAAATAATGTAATTTCTTGATTGTTGTAGTTTGATTATATTAAGCATATTTAATTGCACATGTCCCTGAATTCAAAAATAATTGAAAACACAAAACGATATATATATAATGTTTTCTGTATTGGAGATACGCATGTGAGGGAACAAATAGAGTAACGCTATTTGTTTTTTTTGTTTATGTTATTTTTGTTTACTGCTTTTTTCATTATATAGAGTCAAAATGAAAATGCTCATACTACTCTTCAAAATTTGTCATCATTCAATATTGCTTTAGATATATTTACTACACCACAAATAATGGTTAGAGTTTTGTCAATGCGTGGCAGTAAAGTCCAGTCTAATTTATATTTTAAAACAGCAAATAGTTTTATTCTCTGAATAGCACGTTCAACATGTACCCTGGCCTTCGTTATTTCTGCAGATTCCAGTGCATCATGCTTGCTTAACTGATTTTGCTTTCTTACAAATGGTGGGCATACTAAACCAATAACTCTAGCAGAACAAGCATCTTTAGCATGAAAATCTTTATCCGTCATTATTTGATCTGCATAAGGATCAAGTAAATTTAGCAAATTTGATTCCTCAAATATGGCTTTGTGAGATGCCCTACCTCCATATGCTTTACTTAAATAGGTGATAAGACCAGATGAGGCAATTCAAACTAATACTTTAACAGTATGCTTACCATAGTAATGGGAGTAAGTTAATATTCTGCAACTAATACACTTTGGTTTTTCAACCAAAACTTCAGTGCAGTCCAAAATCACACGAACTTTGCTGTATTTTTGAAAGCACATAGGTAAGTTTTTTATTATCTCTTCTTTGGAATGCCACACAATCGCAGCACCTGATACTTGACTCAAATAAGCAATAATATTGAAAAATATTCTTTTACATGTTGTCATAAATATTTGAAATAAAACTGAAACACAAGCAAAGGACAAGGCCAGTTTTTTTCATCATAACAATAACAATTTTGACTTTAGTAGACAACTTTGTAGTAGCCTTACAAGCAGTATTGTTGGACAGCAACTCACTAACACAGGCAGAGATGGTATCATGCATTTTAAAACTGTTTAAACCTCTGAGAATATTCAATTCATTGTCTGATTTTATTAAGTCAAACAGAGTAAATTTTAGAGTTGAATCTAAAAGTGTATTCACTTGAATTTCTTTTTCCATTAAAATATCCCTCTTCTCCTGAATGTTGGATTTTTCACTTAAACTTAAGAGTGTTATGGTGCATTTTTTAAACTTAAGAGTGTTATAGCACATTTAGATAAACCTTCCTCTGAACGATAACTGATAAATGAATGAATAGATCACAAACTAATAAGAAGACTCGTCAAAACAATTTTACATTTTATTTTTATTTTGGCTACATTATCGAAATATTTTTGCTTAATATACACGATTCAATCATTTGGTACTCTCATGTGAAATTTCTAATCAATAAACAGTATTTTTTCAATCAAATATCAATTCAATTTTTAATGAAAATCCGCTTGATTTAAAAAAATTATTACAAGTATACAATAATTTTTCACACAATATATCAAATGAATATCCAGTTTTTCGAAGAATGCCCTCACAGGTCAGCTGTTTAAACAGATTGCCTTTGAATTTTATTTCAGTTTCCTTCCTATATAAATATACAAGACTTTCCCAAATTGTAACTAGTTTCTTCGAAATTATTTACCTTAATTTACGTTTACTTTTTTTTAACAACAAGATTGATGCTTGAAAGAATCTCATCGAAATTGATGTGTTGTTAATGAAAGCAGAAAGTCGACTGCACTGTATTCCACACTAAGCGAAGTTTTTTATTGTGAAATTCCTCTTATATTTTAATTAAAAGTTAAAATAAATCCACAAAAATAAACAGAAAATTCATTTAATGATAGAAAAGTTAAAAGAAATTAAAAATTTCGAAGAATTTTTTTTGTCGTTTCGAAATAAATATTTTTATGGTATTAAAAGTCTGCGTATTGATCTTATAGAAGAGCTATACAGATAGAGAATAAGGATGCTTTGAACAAAAAATTTGTCGAACACAGGTTATGAAACTTATTGTTAGAATCATTTAACGATATTTTTTGGAAAAAGTTAATGCTTTTAATGCGCTATAATATAGTAAATATTGAGGAATTCACTTCTATTATCTTTACAATTCAGGAGAAGTATGACGCTTAAGTAAACGAGGTTATCTGTATATCCAAAATAGTTATTAATTTCAATTTTGTTCAAAGCCACATATGACAACATTCTACATGTATACACTAAATAAAATAGAATTAAAATGTATATACAAAAGTACGAATTTACTACTGCAAAAATAGAGAATCTTATTATTGAGTTGTCTTGCGATAATAACTTAAAAACATAATTTAGCAGCATGAAATTAACTGAATTTCGATATCAGTAAAAAGTGAATATTTCGTTTTGAGTGATAAAACTCAAAGAAATTCAATTATATTTGCGACTTTTTCTTTGTGTGAACCTGGGTTTTCGGCTGGGGCAGTGATAAAAACAAACATTGCACGAAAATCAAGGCGGAAAACAAAATGAAAGTGGCTGCGTGCAATTTTGTTTTAACATTTCAGAAAATAAACGGTGATCAAGAGGCTTATTTATCGCACTACTTATAATTACTTGAATTTGTTATATTACATTTGTTTATTTTAATTACGTGTTTTATTTATTTTTTATTTGATAAAAATTCTAACTTTTTGATTTAAAAAATTACTGGCTATTTCTCTTGTGGTAAATTTTATTTGTTAGAATTTAACGTAGGGCGCTTTGGGAAAACCCGGATTCAGCAAGGGTGCCGAGAAACGAAAAAGTCTGGAAACCACTGTGTTGGTAAGTTTTTCTTTACACCGGTGCAGTCCTATTAAAGTCAGGCCTAAGAGGATCAAAAGAAAGCATGTGATTAAGTGGATTAAGTTTCCTTCGTGTTTTAATCTCTTTTTCCTTATAATTAAATGTCTAGTACAATAGCCACTCCACTACACAGCTTCGAAGTAATTTACCCAAATTATTATACCTAAAACCATTTTTTCACTTCGTGTTGTTGTGTGCACTTGACAAGCTTAGAGTAGATAACACTCAAATGAGAGGCCAATTATGAAAAAAAATTTTTAATATTTTTTAATATAAAGACCTCAATCTGTTTATGTGTGTGTAAGTAAATTCTGTATAACTCCTACTATTTTGTCCATTCCAGGGAAATTTTGTTTTGTTGTGTTTTATGTTAAAACAGTAGTATAAACTGCTTAATTTATAGAAAATTAACTGTAAATTTCTTGAAAATTTCACTTTTTCGTAAGGCGTATTTTTCGTCATGCTTGAAAGGAAAGTTTTTATTTTTTAGTAATTGTCTAAGGTATCGTATTGCTTTTCGTCTGTCATTTGCCAATCTCTAGCTATTCCTGCCAAGTGAGATTGTGCATTAAGAGAATCAGATCAAGCGGCAGTTTCAACAACTCTTCTTACTTTTATTATCCAGTCTGTTACGTTATCGACTTGTCTGCACTTACAGTTTCGTTCGACGTATTACGGAGAAGTTGAATGTACGTTATTAAAGATTGTTTTTGTCGTTACCCGGCGTGAGTGAGGTGGGGTATGTCATACCCGAGAAGATTTTAAACGCACATTATTTAATGTTATTGTTGCCATGCAAATCTCGTTGTCACAGTAGCTGAAGGTAAGGGAGTAGGGAGCGAGGTGCAGTGTTGAGTTTAGTGTTCCGCCGGTGTCAGCGGGAAATACACATGAGCAAAGGTGGCTGGGGTACGTCACACCCGTCCTCATAGTCGGTGTTGCATTTTTGAGTTGACAGTAAGTTTATGAGTTTTAGTTATTTATAGTATTTTTAGATTTATTTCTAGATTTCTCAAATGATAGTCTTCGCATTAGACAAAAAACACATCTTTCATGGGAAACTCGAAAAGTGATTACTGATCAACTGGGAGAACCTTCATTACCTGTTTCCAAAAAATGGCTAATAAATATGTCAGGTGTGGTGAATGTACTAAGAACAGATAGGAAAACAAAACATTGCTGTTCGAAGTGTGAGAAGCTAAAATATATGAAGCATGCGATTTTTGTGTGTGGAGATTGTGCTGATTTGTAGGTGTAATGTTGGTGCTGTGCAAATTTATCTCATAAGACCTTTTCGTTATTTTTTCTATTTTTATAATTGAAAGATACTATAGTTATGTTGATTAACCAAAGAAGTTGTAATTTTGTTTAAATTTTATACGAAAAAATGTTAAACTACCAAAATTGTTCTTTTTCAAAGAAAATACAGACACTTCGTTATTTCAATAAAAAAACATGCTATTCAATCTTAAACATAATATTTTATTTACTCATCTTGTTAAATAGATCTATTCTTATTATCCCAAGTGAAAAAATAGTTTATACACAATTATAGTATAAAAAATTCGGCATCAAATTTCGGGTATCTCCTACCCACCTCATAGCTGATGAAACAATTTCTCACCTCATTCACGCCGGGTTAAATACGAATATTCTTTGTCTAAAACAGGAGCGTAAATAAAATGCGTCGACTGCGCCACGTTAAATTAGAAAACTGATTTGTTTTTACAAAAGATACAAATATAGTTAACAAGGCAATAAAACAGTTAAATCGATAGTGTCAATTAGCTAAAGTCAACGTCAATTTAACGATATAAAAATGTTATTTAACAACTAATGTATTCGAAATTATCTTTCATTAAATTACAACATGAATTATGCATTATTATTATAACGTTTAATAAATGAATATTTTTTTCAAAATTCGTTATTATAAAGTCCTGTTATGCCGAAATTATTTAATAAATATTGATTTCTATTAATCTTACATAGAAAATACAAACGAAATATCCGCGAGTCCATGAATATAAACTTTGAAAAAATATAATTTTCTTTGAAAAGCATTTTTCGCAAAATTTACATTTAAACGGTTTTTGTCAGTGTGAAAAAACACATAAAAACACATGCATTCGCATGCATTCGCATGTGTTTTCAGATATTTTTTACGAAAAAATTCCTTGCCGCATGTCATGCATTGTAGTTTTTTGCCCTTTTAAAATATTTCGTTGATTAAAATTAGCTTTTAGATTCAAAACTCATCATAACCACTTTACTTCCCTTATTCAGGACGTAAAAATCTGATCAGTGTGAATCGACCATCCTAATCCTGTGTTCACCGACAAACATCCAAAGTAGTAAACACTGTCTTTCTATTCCACGAGCTTATAGAATAGACCTTTCCATTTATGTCTCACACTTATCAATTTGATCTAACTTTTACCAAATAAATTGATGTTACTGGAGTGCGTAATTTACGGCGTGCTGTCTCTCGACTTCCTCCTTCATTTCGAACGCGACCGCTCGCACGAGATTTACGAACGATCAACAAATCATAGTAGTGTCACTTCTAACTGGCATTGCGGACGTATATAGGTATAAATATAAACGAACGTAAACTAAATTAAGATACGACACTCCCATATGCGGTACACCTTCAGACTTCACTTTGAACTGGCTTGAAATCAAACAAAACAATCTCCTCAGAACATTACATAAACATTTTTACAATTCTACCATCGCTTAATACTTACAACCAGCATAATATTGATACATATAGAGGAATTGCTTATAGATAGCTTTAAATTACTTAAACTTTCAACAAAAAATCTTTTATTAGTAACCTTCAAAAAATACTACCGATCAGCTAAATACATATTCTTCTTCTTCGTGTGACATATCAGGCCACTTCGATGTCTGCGAACACCCGGCGTAAGTTAGTTGAAATTAGTTTGGGCAAAAAGTGATTTCTTTCAAATGTTGATACCGAAGCAGCTCCCCGTTGCCTTCTCTGAGTATGCGATGTTACGCGGTAAAGAAATGCTTTCCTGAAGGACTTTTAAGAGTAAATTGCCCTTATTCAGATGTAGCACATGGGAAAATATCCTTCAACTGCCAACATTCGACCATAATTTGAGACGAACCACGCCGATCTACCAAATGCTATGCAATTAAAATTGACTAAATGAATAAGTCAAAAGTAAGAAAACTTACAAATAATTTAAAAATGGTGTCAGAAGCTTGAATCATGATCCACTTTGGATGTTGATCGTTATATTTTTGTGTTATTGCCATTATTTCACTTGTGTGTTTTTTATTTCTTTTGTGTGAAATTATAATTTGCTTAGATACTTCGAATACGCTAATGGCCGCAGTGTCATAAATAAATAAATAATAATAATAATTTAAAAAAATAAAACTATAAAGAAAATTTTGAATACATTACTTATATACCCAAAAATTGTAGGGTTTCCCATTCGTGTAAACTCGCACACTCCTATTGAGTATTATCAAACCGTGCTTTTACTCTTACTGCTTATTGTGCAGATTGAGTAAAATAATAATAATTCAAAAATAAGTTAATCAAAAAACAGAAATAGCGTTACTCTATTTGTTTTCTCACATGTGTTTCTCCAATACAGAAGATATTATACAGTATATATATATACATCGTTTTGTGTTTACAATTGTTTTGACAATTGAAAACACAAAACGTTCAGGGACACGCTCAATTAAATATGCTCAATATAATCAAACCATAACAAACAAAAAAGTACATTATTTCGTTGCATTGTTTTCTGTTGTAACAAAATTTCGACTTAGAAAACTAGATTTGATAATTAAATCAAAGTAAATCATAATGGTAAGTGAACTCTTTCATTTAATCTTCATAATACATTTTGAGTTTCACAAACTTTTTTATTAAAACTTCCTAACATAACAAGCTATCAATTTCAATTTTATATCGAAAACAGAGTGCATATTATAAACATTTTAAACATAACACTATAATATATAACAATAATTTATACTATCGTAAATAATTTTAACTTATCTTTTTTACGAATCATTTATTGTTAATCAACGACTTATTTTAAAAGGACCGAAAACATCAATGCCCGACATGCGACCAGACGTTTCTTAGTGAACACGAATTGAAAAGACACATGCAAACTCATAAGGGCGAAAGACCGTTTCAATGCAATTTGTGAGAAAAAAGCTTTTCGTGGAAGAGTCATTTGAGACATCATATGAAAGTGCACTCCGATGAAAGACCATTTAAGTGCAATTACACTAACTGTGAACGTAGCTTTAAACGAAAAGGCGGCTTGGATCAACACATGTACAGAATGCATCCTGATGAGATTTTATCTAAAGTAAATATTACCTTTAATTACGGCATCTTCACAATAAAATGATTAGTGGAAATAAACGTTTCAAAACATTTTTATAAATACTTGACATGAAGCGTTCACATTTAAAAGTTACGTTTTATTTTTCTATATATTGTTAACAATAAACTAAAAATTAATTCAATAATTAGATTTCACCAAACGACCCGAAGATAATAAGCCGTAAATGTAATTTTTGCCTAAAACTTTGTGCATCACCAACTGAGTTAAGACGTCACTTGAGAATTCATACCAAAGAACAACCATTTTCGTGTAATTTTTGCAACGACACTTTCACTTTCAAAAGTAGTTTAAACAAACACATCAGAAAGATCCATCCGAAAGAAAATACTCCATCTTGCTGCGAAGTAAGTGTTTAACTTTTAACACACAACAGTGTCATAGAGTGAAAACATTATAATAGTAACTTCACTTATTTAAGAAGCACCTATTGTTTTAATATTCATTCACCGCATATATTCTGAACACGTGTATTTGTTTCATTAGGTACTTGGAAAAAATAAGTTTTTTCTTAATTATCAGGAAAATTCCTGGGTTAAAAATATACAACTATTCTGAATTTTTCCTTTAATATCAGCTACTAATACGCGCATACTAAGCTGTTTTTGTATAAAGTAGGAGTCATTCGATGAACAACCAGTAAAAAACGTTTCTATATCACTTCATGTATCCGAGATGAAACATTAAATTAATTTTTCAAATTACAAGTTATTAAATGCAAATTCTACTTCAGAAAATTTAAATTTTCATAAATAAACTTCATTTTTACTCATTACGATTTAATGCAATTTATGGACATCGAATTTCGTTTAGTTGTCTGAGGAATAATTATAAGGTATAAACAAATTCAATTATATAAGTGTAGAGAAATTTACTTTGATATGTGAAAGCCTTTGTTTCTTGACTTTACAGAAATATCTATCGAATAATTAAAAACGATGACTTTTTGTTTTCACAGAAATTAACAATTATTTTTCTTGTAAAAATATTACTTTACTGAAATGCATTTATATCTGTTTAGCGATTATTCTTAAGGTTATTATTTACTCATAATTTGTTAAAATTGTGAATTGTAAATGGTAAATTGTGTAGAGTTATGTTATTTAAGTTATTTACTTTCAGATAAGTACACAAGTCGATCAACGAGAGCAGATTGAATCGTTTGAAAAACCATCAACTAGTTTTCAAAAACCACAGTCAATAGAATTTGAAAAAATTACATCAGATCAGAATCTTTTTACTTTAAAAGACTGTGAAGAATTCCTTGAAACTATTAACGTCAATTTAGGAATTATCCAACAGGAAGGTTCTTCACAACAGACATTCTTCCCAGAAGTGGACGTTGATGAAATTAAATTGGAATGTCCGTTCTGTCGTGAACAATTTTTCGATAACGTTTCGTTTAAAGAACACAAAAGAAAATTTCATCTGTCTGACTAATTAATTGTGGACAACTAATTTTCAAAATATAATAAAATCATAAGACAAAAGGAAGAAAAAAAAAAAAAAAGAACTTACAATGACACAATGTTTGTCATATTTGAATAAGCAGTGAAAGTTACTAAAGTTGTATATTTTATTTCAAAAAAAATTCTGGTGTTTTCCTACATATAATTTTAATACTAACCCGAAGCAGATTATTCGTAGTTTTCTTATATTCATTATATCGTAGACTACTGATATTAATAAAACTAAAAAATTACATTTTTGAATCATTTGTTATTATTTGTTTACGTTCATAACAAAGTTTATTACAACAAAAGAAAACCGAAATTTTTATAATATTTATGAAACTTTTAAACCATGGCTTCTTAAACCACAGCCTACAATAAGAACAGCCTAGTCATTTGCTCTAAAAACGTGTGTCGATGCCTGAGGCGGTTTGCACATTTTGTTCACTAGGAGCGCT